AATTTGCACTCAAAAAGAGCCTTTTATCATTGGACTGTGGTGGCCACTTTGCTACAGTAAGTTTAAATAAATGAGAAAATTTTGGATATAAATGTATGCATAAATTTATGTATACATTTTGGATATAAATGTATTCATAAGAATTAGGATAATTTGTGAAGAGCAAAATGCTTGTTTTTTTCACACAAGCAGGATTCCAACATGACATTTTCACATGTAGAGTACAGTGATCTTTGCTCATTACTGTCATCTCCACTAATGTCCCCATACCTTCTTCTCTCTTCTTATGACACCCTTCCTCCCCATATATAGCCTCTTTTCTCTCTCTCTTTTTCTCTCTCTGTTATATTTTAAATAATTTAAACATTTAAATAATTACAACAAAGTATATGATTACAACTATTTGTACTACTAAAATTCTATATATTCACAGAATATAATTTTATGTTGCTTAAAGAAGAAACACAATTTGGGAGGGAGCTACGTCTCAGTGGTTTAGAACACTGGCTGCTTTTTCAGAAGACCTTGGTTTGAATTCCCAGTACCTACATGGTGACTCATGACTTCCTGCAACTTCTTTTAGGGAAACTGACACCTTCTTCTGGCCTCCATGGCACCATGCCTGTGTACTCATGTACACAAATGCAGGCAAACACTCATGCACATAAAAATTTTTTTTTGATCTTTTGGAGACAGAGTGTCTCTGTAGTGTGATTTTCATCTATAATCACAAGATTGCAATACAATATAATAAACTACTTCAAAACAAGATTAGAATACAATAAAATACTTAAAAAAATATGACATTTACATTTTTTAGGCTATATAGGCATGTATAAGATCACCTCCGATGAAAAGTGTCAAGTTAATGGTAATTTCAGTTTTGTATGGCACATTGAGTAGTTTCTTACTATAATCTACATTAACAGCTGTCGCATAGGACTATCCTCTGATCAGAAGACAGATGCCTTCTTTCTATGCTTGGTTGCACCTGTTTGCCTAGGATCATCACAGTTAAACTTGTTGACTGTTGTGTTCTGCAAGAAAGGCAGGGTGGGGCAGGGAGAGTCAAGGACCCTCCCAATCAACCAGACAGCCTTAGTTGCATGAGGGGAAGGGCCTAATGTATATAAGCTGAGGAAGCTCTAGGGAGTCTCCCTCACCAATTTGTGATACTGCTGGGAAGTGACAATCCATGCCTGGATGGAGACTTTCCAGTGTGGCCTTAGGTGGGGAGCACCCACACTTCTGAAAGTAAACTCTCACCCACTGTTTTATAAGTAAGCCCAATAAACTCATCGGTTTTCCAGGCTGTAGTTTGGTGAAATCGTACCTTGGCCATCATTTGCGCCTCCCAGAAGAAATTCTAGCTACAACAGCAAATAATCTTATACTAAGCTCATTCACTACTATTTTGCTGGACCTAGAGAGCAGACTCAGAATGTAAGAGTGCTTCCTATGCATGTATGTGGCTCTGAGTTCAAATTCCAAGTCCCCACATAAAAACTTAGGCATGGCTGTGCATGCCCAGTGCCTGAACCCAGGTGCCATAGGGAGTGAGACAGGAGGGTCAATGGGACTTGCATGCTGTAGTCAGCCTAGTTCCAAGTTGTATGATTTACTCTGCTTCAAAGAGAACAAGGTTGTGAGCAAGACACCTCACATTCTCCTCTCGACATGCACACAGAAATAAACACACAATTAAGACATAGTATTTTGCTAATGACCTCTTATCATTTTGCTAAAATGTGCCATATAAAGGCCGGATGTTATGCATATAGTGTCATAGTGTCTAGTCTCTAAAAATATAAGAAATATTTAGAGAATCTTTTCCAGTACCCACATCTTGTATGGTGCAGCCTGCTTTCTTCTAACAGTTTCAGCATATTTCCAGTTTCACAATGAGATCTTTGATCCACTTGGAACTGTTTTTTTGTGTGGTGTGATAGATACCACTTAATTTCATTCTTCTACACCTGGACATCTAGTTTTTCCAGAACAATTTTTAAAGATGCTATCTTTCCTCAGGGTTGTATTCTTGGCATCTTTGTCAAATATCAGATTCTTTAATTTCATGCACTCATGTTTGGGTCTTTTATTTTATTCTATTGATCTACATACACATCTGTTTTGGTGTCCATACCATGCTGTTTTTATATGTACATCCCTGTAAAATAGCTTAAAATATGGTATGGTAATCCCTCAAGCAATATAATTTTTACTCAGAATTGCTTTGAATATCTTGTATACTTTATACTTCCATATGAATTTTATGATTTTTTTTATTTCTATGAATAATATCATGGGAATTTTGAAAGTGTTAGCGATGAATCTGTAGACTGCTTTCAGTTGGATAGTCATTTTCAGTGCTAAATCTACCAATCAGTGGTCAGAGTAGGCCTTTCCACCTCGTCGTGTCTCCCTCAATCTTTCTTCAGGGATTTAAAGTTTTCATTATAAGGTCTTTTGACTCCTTGATTAGGTTTATCCCTAAATAATTTTTTGAAACTATTGTGAATTGGAGTTTTTCCATGATCTCTTTCTTTCACTCAGCATGTTTATTATTTGCATGTAAAAAGGCTACTGATTTATGGAAGTTGAATACATTGCTGAAGGTGTTGGTCAGTTCTTGAAGTTTTCTACTGAAACTTTTGGGTTATGTTATATATAATAACATGTAGTTTCCAGATAAAGTAAATTCGACTTATTTTCCTATTAGTATCTTTTCCTTCTCTTGTCTTACTGCTCTAGCTAGGGTTTCAAGAACTATATTGAAAAAGAATGTGGATAGTGAACACTCCTGTTTACTTATTTTAATGGGAATACTTTAAGATTTTCTCCGTTTAGAATGATGTTGGCTGTGTGATTGTTTTATATAGCCTTACACTGAGATATGCTCCCTCCTGTCCTCTTCTCCTTAGGACTTTTATCATAAAAAAACATACTGGATTTTCTCAATGTCCTTTCCTGTGTCTATTGAGATGATCCTGTAGTTTCTATCTTTAAGTCCATTTATGTGATTTATTACATTTATTGACGTAGCATATTGCACCATCCTTGCATCACCAAACTAGATAGTGGTGGCTGTTCTTTTGGATATATGGTTGTATTTTGTTTTCCTCTTACTCCAGTTAGAATAGCAAAGATCAAAGAAACAACTGATAACAAATGCTGGCAAGGATGTTGGGAAATGAAAATCCTCATTCATTGCTGGTGGGATTGCAGACTGGTGCAGCTACTATATATGTCAAGGTGGAGAATACTCAGCACAACCAAAAGTAGATCTATCATTATCATCCAGCTATATTGCTCCTGTGCTATCCCAAGGATTCATACCCTATTATAGAGATACTTGCTTAACCATGTACATTGTCACTCTTTTCACAACAGATGGAAAATGGAAAAAAATCTAGGTATTCCTCAACTGGTGATTTGATCATACAAATGTCATACATCTGTACAATGGATTTCCATTCAGCTGTAAGGAAGAGTGAAATCGTGCAAGTTGCAAGTAAATGGATGGAACTGAAAACATCTTGAGTGAGGTAAACCAGATTCCCCCCATAACAAATGTTGCATGTTCTGTCTAATTTATAAATCCTATCTCCAAAAGCTTTAGATGTGAGCATATAACTTTAATTAACTGCAGAATCTATGAAGTGGAGAAGGAGCTCCAGAGAGGGGGATAATAGAACACAAGGACTAAGAAGGGGAAGGAGCTCTAGAGAGGGGGATAGAACACAAGTGATTAGAGGGGGAAATGGAAATGCAAGGGGAACTTTAAATGGGAGAGGGGAGGAGAGTAACACAGAGGGAAAGGGATAAAGAAGAGTTGATCACACTAAGGAATTTGAAAAAATAGGGAAACGTATTATTTTATAAGCTTCTTAAAATACATATATAATGCATATGTGTATGCATGTGTATAGCTGAAGGCTATGTAACAAAAATTTTAGTGCCTAGCACTTGAAATCTCCTTTTGAGTTGTTAGTCAGTGTAGTCCAAGAGACTCCAAAACAATATAATCTATTGCCAAAGCCCTTGGTAGTCTCTCACAACTTGAAAGTAAGACCATGTTGCCAAAGTCACCACATACTTTTGATATGGAACTTAGAAAAATGAGCTGGAATTGACCTGGAAGCTTCCTCCATGAGGGTTAGTTCTTATAGTACAGGAAGAGGCTACCCAAGCTGCTAAGGTGCAGTCAATTGTCCTGCCAGCTCTAAAGCCTACAAACCGCAACCACTCTTGCCCCAGCAAAATATGTTTATTGATGCATTAGGGGATATTTTATCTTGAGGGTAACCAACAGCTGTCTAATTAGACTTAAGGTGCACCTAATAGGAGAAGATTCATGCCTAGTACTGTAAACCTAGCCAACAATTATGGCTGGAGATGTCGTAGATTCTAGATGAGAAACTACTATTGCCATTTTATTAAACCAATGTTATTTCTTACTATAGTCTTAATGAATTTTCTTATATTCACAGATATGTGTGGCTCTCACCACTCATCAAAGAAAATTTTTGAAAAAGATGGAGACTTACCAAGTTCCACAGGTGATCAAAATGCAGGGAGTAAATCACCATGGGGTATCAAGAGCCAATTGATTCATCAGTAATGAGACCTCTACACCTAAGACTCAGGGAACATTCTGGAAGGGGGATGGAATAATCATAAGAGAGGATGAGGACACATGCTCCTATATAGATTATTCTAGAGGGAAGCTGCACCCATGAAGTCTTAACGATATGGCTTTTGTATCAGTCAGGGTTCTCTAAAGAAACAGAACTGGTAGAATGAATATATGTGTATAGGGATTTATCAGATTAGCTCACAGGACAGAGTCCGAGTAACTCAACAATGGCTGCACCACCCTGGAGAGGCTGAGAATCTGTAGCTGCTCAGAGTGTAAAGGCGTGGACTTGCCACAAAGCTCAAGCTGTTGCAGCTGCTGCAGGGGGGAGAGGAACTCGATCCCCCACTCCAGACACCCAGTGCCTCGCCATGGCTGACCAGCTGACTGAAGAGCAGATTGCAGAGTTCAAGGAAGCCTTCTCCCTCTTTGACAAGGGTGGAGACGGCACCATTATCACCAAGGAGTTGGGGACCATAATGAGGTCGCTGGGGCAGAACCCCACTGAGGCTGAGCTTCAGGACATGATCAGTGAGGTGGATGCTGATGGAAATGGGACCATTTACTTCCCAGAGTTCCTCACTACGATAGCCAGAAAGATGAAGGATACAGACAGTGAGCAGAAAATTCGAGAGGCTTTCCGTGTCTTCGACAAGGATGGGAATGGCTATATTAGTGCCGCTGAGCTGCGTCAAGTCATGACGAACCTGGGGGAGAAGCTGACCGATGAGGAAGTGGATGAGATGATCCAGAGAGGCTGACATCGACGGAGACGGCCAGGCCAATTATGAAGAGTTTGTACAGATGATGACTGTGAAGTGAAGCCCCGGGCAGCTGTCGATGCCCATTCTCCTGATCTCTTCTGTGCTGTCCTCTCTTCAACACTCACATGCATTCCCCGGTTCTAGCAAACACCAATTGATTGACCGAGAATCTGATAAAGCAACAAAAGATTTGTCCCTGTTCAGGCCCCAGTTGCTACTGTCCTCCCCCGAGCCAGCCAGAGGGGGACACAGGGTCCCTGCCAATATGGGGATGAAAGGCAGGGAGTCACGACACAGGCCAGGGAGTCAGGTAAAAGCAAGCAGAGGGCGAGCTGCTTCAGACTCGTTTATTCTGGGAAGCGTTTGGGGTTATAAGGGGTTGGCTACATCCTACATATCCTGCATCCTACATATCCTACATCCTACATATCCAGTGGCAGTCTTTCTCCAGGCAGATCATCTCTCAGCTGGTTGTCATTGCTAAGTGGGCTGGCCCAAAGCCCTTTCCCAATTCCTTGGCAGGAAGCCTGAGCTGGGTCCGGTTCTTTATTATGCAATACACAGGAGGTTGTTTCTCTTCTATTCTGTGCTCTTGCCAGTGTATGGAGCCAAAGACACCTCCTTTCAAATTAACCAGCCTCAACTGTTTTGTTATGCAACATAAACCCTATTAAAGCCTCCCACTTATAACAAGCACTGAGACTTGAAAGCAAAGGGGAGGGATGCAATACAAAACATGAGACACTGAAAAATGGAAAGTGATTTTCAAGTTTATTAAAGCTATGTTGAAATAGAATTGCCCTGAGTAACCCCAAATGCATATGAAACATAAACATAGACAGTTTTGGATATGTAATAAGATAATTTTAAGAGATGATGTTAATTAATATATCTCTACTTTTCAGCAGCTTACAATAGCACAGTCAATACTAAAATACGTTACAGGAAAAATCAATATTCATATGAATGGATTCTATTTTCCTGAATTTGTAGGATATACCTTAGCCTAGTTTTTCCTAATGTCAGAGGCATTGATTTAGAAACCTGTTGACTTATCATAGCACCACAGTCTGATCATTTTCAAATTTTTCATTCAAATTTTAGACTTTTTTTGTCATTGAAATTTCTTAGAGTAAATTCATATTTGGAGTATAGCTGATCATCACTAGAGTTGAAGTAAGACTGATATCATTACATCCCTTTACAACCAGAAAGACAGGGAACAGAGCATGTGGAAACAATACTTTCTGAGCCTGCTATAAAAGGGCAAGCTAGCTGCAAAGTCTGTCTATTGCATTATTGTCCACACAGAGAGGAAGCCACGTGTGGAAGCTTTGCCACTTTTAAGGTAGGTCCTACAGAAGAGTTAAACTAAATTCTCATAAAATGGTATTGCTAATCTTCTACAACATTTCAGAGAACAATCGTCTATTCCCAAACCTGTCATCTAGTCAAATCCATCTTAGAATTTCTCTTATTGGCTATGGTTGCCAGTTAAAGATGATTCATCACCCCACAAGCTGCACAAGTACTAGAACTCCTACCATAGAAAATATACTTGCTCCTTTTGTTCTTAGGCCAAATTATCTCCCACTTGGCAGATAATGAATATATCAATTAATCCCACTAATGTGACAATGGGACAGCAGGAAAGTCTTGATTATACCAAGTCCTGGGAAATAGGACCAATTTATTTATTCATTGTAGATTGCATTCCATATTAGACACAGGATAAAGGTCCCCATGGAATGATTTCTAATAAAGGGACATTAGTCTCACAGGATCTCTTGGGCAGGGGCTCTTTTTATTGTCTGCTTTATCACAGCTCATATTACCTAGATTACATCTTGTTCTCACCGGATTGTAGAACTGTCAGAGAGAGAGAGAGAGAGAGAGAGAGAGAGAGAGAGAGAGAGAGAGAGAGAGATGCACAAGTGCGCACATGCCATCTGTTACTTTAATGCAGACTCTACTCTTTCTGTTTAAGGTTCGCTTATGCTTTTTCTAAGTTTTTTTTTTCACATTTCTCTTCTCTTACTCTCATCTAATTTTCAATTCATCTCTCTAGGATGGTCAACATGTAATAGTCCTAACAATGGCAAGCAAGTGGTAAAAGCCATTCTTCTAATCTCCAGAATTTCCTTTTGTGTGCTGTCATTAATAACTGTTGCCACTTTTGTGAACAGTTAGAAGGCAAAATTACAGGTAATGTAGTTGGCCACAGCAGACCACACTGGTGAATGGTGTGTGAAACAGTGTACCTCAGCTTGGCTTGGAGCTAATACAAAGAAAAGTGCTGTAGATGTTGATGCAGAAAAATGAAATTCAGTGCCAGCATGTCCATAGATCCTCCCTCAGTCAGTGGGGCCAGGATTTGGTAGCTGGTACTGAAGGAAATCCTTGATTACATTCTTGATCTGGTACTGTACCAGTGTCACTTGTCTCTCAAGGGAACGGGTGAAAAGAATAGAAAAAGAAAAAAAATGGAATGCAATAGATGTCTGTGGAACTCAAAATTACTTCTCTATGTACTCTACAGATTGTCGTAATGAGATACCTCACATGTACTAGGTAATCTCACTTTCTCTCTCTCTTTCTCATTTTTCTCTCTCTTACATGTACTTTTATTGTGTTGTGACTAAAACATAGTTAAAAGTGCTGACACAAAGATTATAGTATCAAATAGATATCCAGTTGTTCAATTAATGGATATAAGGTTAATAACTTCAGATCAAAGGGAGAGATGATGCAAAGCAAAGCATGATCAAATTCAGTCTTTAATGAAAACATATAGCCTTATCCAGGTAAAACAAAATAAAACCTAAATGAACAATATTTTATTTTCTCCCACCCCCCTAAACAACTCATTAAAATAAGCTAAATCTTTGCCCTTTATTTAGAAAACACCCTTACTGACCAATTAGAACAATCACATAAATCTTTTACAATTAGGAATACACAATTTTTATCTACAACACATAAGTCTGGTCACTCATTCCACCACTTAAAACTGCCCAATGTCTTATAACACTTGGAATATTTAAATATCCAAATATTTGAACTTCATAATACATATCAGGGCCTGGATGAAACAGAGACTGTTTTCTCTCTGGCATCTTCCTCTCGACAGCTGCCTTACATTAATTTTTCTATCCCTTTTCTTCCTTCTCACTGTATATCCATTGTAGATTGTCTACTGATGTATCTTCCAGTGTATCTGCTTTGTTTTTTCAGGTGCCTAATATTTCATAGGATATATATTTCATTTAGAAAGTTACACATTTCTTATATTAACAAATTAGTGAAATTATTTATGGGTTCTTCTCTTCTGCCATTGAATACTCTTTTTTTCTTGATCATATTTATTATAACTCCTTTAAATCCTTATCTGATACTTAAAATATTTAGATTTCTAACAGGCCAACATCTACTATCTTGTTTTTAGTTGTTTAATATGATTTATCCATCTAGGCATGCCTAGAAATTAAACTGTGCCATGTTCCATAGTATTTACATTGTTTAAGATTCTTGATTATTTCTTTTCTTCAAATAAAATGGGTCCTTTCTACAGATGAGAAAAATCTATTAGGTCTGATAGGAATCAAGCCTACAATAAAGGCTTTGACTAAAAGGTTCACTCATTCATTTCATCTCTATTGCTTCTAAAAGGCAATACATATACATAGAAAGGATAAAAATATATAGAGCTTAATATGTTTTACAAGAACCCTTCTTCTAATGGGTCATTAGCTGTGATGTGTGGGTCACCAATATCCATGTAAAGATGCTGAGCACAGGCACACATTAAGAAAACCTGTGTTCTATGCATTCTCTTCTGCTGCTTTAGATACCTTATCTACACACGTGTCATTTCTAGAACAACGTGTGAGGAATATCAGTGTACTTCAGGCACTGAAAGTTCTTAGCAGGTTTATTCTGGTCCAGCCAGACCTCTCAGATCTGTAGGAATCTCTGCCCTGCAGCAATGAACTCAGTTGGCTCAGTGCTGAGGTTCAAAGGCATTGCCAGGATTGGAAGCACTGTGACCTTCGCCAGACAAGCTTCAGTTCACTCCCTCTGTGTACTCTGAACTTGTCCTCTCCCCAGAATAGGACCCCAAAACACACACATTTGAAAACAACACTAAATGTCTTTTAATAGACACAGAATAGAATATAACATTAGCCACTGCTAAAATACTCTCATTGTCACGATCAATTCATTTCTTCAAAACATACCACCTTCCAGAATAAATAAATGACAACTCCTAGTATTTTTTAAAATAAATCATTTTTTCTATCCAATGTTATTATGGATAAATGCATGTCCAAACCTTTGCAAGTTCACTTTTCATTAACTGACATTATGTAATAGGGTCATTTTTTCAGTATCTATTATGGTTCTATCTTGAAATAAGTGAATAAGATCGTTTTCATTTCTCTCTTTTGAATGCCGTAAAATGCTTTCTGGCTCTTTCTATCTGATTATACAAAAGAACATAATGACCTACATTTAGAGAACTTTCTCTACTCTGAAGACTGCAGCCTACACTGATACAATGCAGCAAGTTCTACATGACACTTTGAAAGACATGTCACAGTCAATTTATCATAGTGCAGATTTTTCATGGTTATTATTAAATCCCCTAAAACCATTGACTCATGCTGTCCTTGACATAATAAATTTCTTGTTCCTTAAAAAATTACTACAGATGTGCAGTGAAGAAAAATTATGCTCACAACTTACATTTCAATTTTGACATTAAAAAAAAACATTTCCCCAAGTTCGGTGCATTTATTTATTATGCAGGCATCTTTCTTCCAGACCTCAAAAATAGCAGTCAGAAGAAATATGTGTTCTCTTCTTCTGATGCAGTTTTATTTAAACTTTGAATCATAATGTAAAAGCTATATCATTTTCCTAGGAAATGAACTTCAAGGATACAAATCTTGTTATACTTGAACTAACCTTAGAGTAACTGAGCCCCAAAACAAAATAAAACAAAATTTTACTTATCTTACATATTAATTACCATTCGTGGAGAATTGCACTAATCAC